GAGAGAAGGAGAGAGCTTTCTTCCTGTTCAATCAATTATGTTTTGAACTACTACATATGACGTCTCTCTAATTGTAGCTAAAGGAGATGACTATCAGGTCTTCAGACAATCTGCAAAGCAGCACTGGGAGTCGATGAAGTTTTGCTATCAAAAGGTATCTGATGCTTTCTTCTTTTTGGAGTTTTTTGAGTATCTTACTATGGTATGTTTTTTATTTTGTAATCGTGAACCTATATAAGCTTGACCTGTGCAGTTTTCTGTAGGCTGCAAGTGCATTTTCTAATGGAGAACGAGATTATGCAGCTGTTCTGTCTGAGAAGGTGTGTATCTAGTAGATGATATCTGTGCTCTTTCATATGTATATTTCAGTAGAAAACTTGTTCAAGTTAGACGTGAACAAATATCAGATTAAGTTGTACTGTCAACTTATTACCATAGTCTGGCAATGTAGAGAATGTCCATTGAGATGATGCACATATCTTTTATGATTATTACTGTTGTTTCTCCTTTTAACTTTTGATCCTTCATGATATGCTGGTTTGCTTGTGCTGTTAATGAGTGACATAGGCCGAAGCTTCCAAGTTTACTGTGTTTTACTTATGTTTATACTTTCCTTTTGAATTTCTTTTGGGTGACATGTATAAAAGTCTTGACCAAGCTATCTTCTGTAAAAAAACTGAAGCAACCTATAAAGTTTAATCAAATGTAATAAGAAACTATGTTCATTTTTGAACTTGGTTCTTAGGTATAAAACTTTGTTTTTGTCGTTGATAGAATGTGAAATATAGGTGGATGGTAATTTGCTAGTTATAGAAAATTGCAGTTTTAGCTGCTTTAAATTTGGATTGTTTTGGAATGTACTCCACTTAATTTCTGGTTTGGCTGGAAATTAATTTGGGCATCAATAGTTGCTTTTTTGGAAGGGTAAAAAACTTCTGTATGCTTCGTTTATGCCTCTCATACTCTACCTTCAATGTTAGACTATTTTACTAAACTTTGTGATGCTATCAAGAGCAACCTACATAAGGAAAACTCTGTAAGGTAGCATGAAGTAGACGTGCAAATAGAATATGAATGGTGCTTATGTCAATGGTGCCTAGTTTAATGTCAAAATAAGTATTCTAAGCTGCTAGTAAACCTCAATCAGAGTTTGCTATTTCATATTTCCACGAGTATGGATGAAATGTTTGACCATACCTGCTCTGGTTCAGGGGAGGACACACAGTAAGATGGCTCGGGAGGCAGAAGAAAAGGCTAGCCAGGATATCTTCCAAGCAAGGTTTGCCTGTTGGATAAATTACTCTAGTTTCAGCATCTGTGCTCTATGATAATTGTCTAACTGAGCTGTATCTGTGCTGCAGAAACAAGGGCATAGAGAATATGATAACGATTGATTTGCATGGGCAACATGTCAAAGAAGCGACGAGGCTTTTAAAACTTCATCTTCTTTTTGGGGCATATGTGCGCTGTAAGCTTCTGTAAAATGTCTCATTTATAAATCAGAAAAGTTCCCCTAGACTCTCTCTTAACATGTTCACAAGTCTCTGGGATTTCTTGTGTCAGAGCAATTGAATAGTGTTCTGTTATGTTCTTGTTTCCCTGTGCTGTAGCTGTGCGGTCACTCAGGGTTATCACTGGATGTGGAAGGCACGGGGTAGGGAAATCACAGCTGAAACAGTCGGTATGGGTCAGCAACCTTGCTCTGCTTTCGTACTAGAATTTGGAAAAAATGTTGAAAGAAAATGTTGGACACACACTAATATTAGCACTAATGTTAGCACTAAACTCCGATATAGTATCTAGTAAAGTGTGCTTCCTTTATTATAGACTAAGGACTAATGGGTTCCAGCACAGCCAACCTACATTTGGAATTTCGATTTTCATATGTTGTATAATTGGGTAAAGTTTAACTGCTCATGGATGGAGTTCTTACTTCTCGGACACAGATGTGTTAATCAGCTTGAAAGTTGTAGCCTGTTCACTGCAGCTGATTTTTGCAGGAAGGTTGATGAAGTGATATTGATCTAACATGCCAGAAGTCTGTCTGTTAGCATTTCTTAAGTGGACGGATTTCTTAAACTTGTGTTTGTGATCATTGCTTGAAAGGAGAGATAATAGACCATCTCTGGATACGTGTGGAAAGGAACTGAGAAGATTCAGATATCATGCATGTTACTCAAATATTGAATACTTTTTTCCTAAATGCTTTGGTCATGCCATAATTTTACCTTTTCATATGTACAGGTCATTAATCTTTTGAAGAGGGAAGGTATTGAATGGAGTGAAGAAAATAGTGGAACACTGCTCATCAGCAGGCTTGATCAGCGGACACAGTTTAGCTTTCTAGATTCTGACAATGAGGGCGAGTAATCTTCCTGCAGTTTGGTTGCGCATTTTTAGAATTGTAGCAAAAGCATGGTTAATTAGATTGTTAATAGTGAGTACTATTTAGCTTTTGCTGTTAATTCTTGTGAGTACTAATTCTACAGATGACATCTAGAAGCTAGTTTAGATTCAGACTTATGTTTACATCCAACTTTAGATTGCGGAAGTTCGAGCCAGAACAGATTAACAGCATATCCTAGCCTATGCTGTGAGCTTGAACTTTAATGTACATTATGCTTTGTGTCTTTTGTATCGAATTCGTGTCGGCATGTTTAGCGACATTATATATATATCAATCATGTTGTAGATTATGTAACTTGTGAAGTGCAAACTGATGGTGTAGTTGGAACTTAGAAGAGAAAAGGTCTTTTTAACTCTTCTTTCCCTCTTTTTGAGAACCGCTTTTTTTACTTTTCTTTGGGCATCTCCTGTCACTTTTCAAAGCGGCAAAGACGACTCCAACAAGGAAAGAGCAATTGTTTGGGTGGATAAGTCCTGGCGCCTTCAAAAGTGGCAACTTTTGAAGGTTGCTCGGATCTAGGTTTATTTGTTGAAATTCTTACTTTCGTAAGAAAATGTCAGGAAGGAAAGAACAATTGTTTGTTAACTTTACGTTATTCCATACCTTCGGCAGATAAGGTCTGAGGGGTGTCTGTCAAACAATCATGCAATAAAAATAGTGGTATTTGTGCAGTCAGTGTTAAAGTTTCTTTGCGCTGTTGGTCCCTATTTAAATTTAATTTTTTTTTGCATATATGTTAGTGTGAGAAAAATTAATTTTGATGAGTTTTTCTTGTCAAAATAACACTTTCTAAAAAATATTGTCAATGTGATTCAGTTTTAAATTTTATTTCCATAATGAAGATGTTGTTATTACCTATTTGTTCTTATTGCTGTGTTGGATAACAAGAAAGGAATGTTTTAATCTAATCTATAGTTTTCTAACATGAACTGAAAATTTAAATTTTTTTTTTGTTACAGAGGCAGAAGAAGATTGCATAGCTTTGACAATTTCTATATAATTATTTAAAATAAATACTATCATTATTGACCTTGCTATTATTGGTATTTGCATTTTTTTTGAAATGTATTAAAATTATTGCATATATTTTTTTAAAAAAATAGATTTGAAAAGCACAAAAATTGCAACAAAATGGCAATAAAAATTGTGAGCAATAACAAGAAAAGTTACAAAATTTTCAAAGCTATCACATTTGTCTATGTTATCTTTCCTACTTCTTGAAAATAACTTTTACAAAAAGTAATCAAGCTGAAATTTTAAAGTTTTCTCTTGCAAACAAAAACTACCATATTATTATATAAGTAATTAACAAGTATAAAAGGCAAATGTCATCCCAGACATGAATTTATGTTGTTATGTAATTTTCTTCCGAGACATTTTATCAAACATACGGTATGAGAAATCATTTGTTAAACAATTAGTATTCAAAACTTTTTGTTGGTGACCGTAGAAATGTTCCAAAAACTGCACAATAGAAAAGGCAAGAGAATAATTTTCATTTACCTTGAAATTATAGATTCAAGAAGAATATTTTCATCCACTGAAACAATATCAAGGGTGATACCAAAGTTTTAGATACTCTTAATATAAATATTGGCTTCTCAAAATTACGTTTAACAAGGAAAAGATAAAGAAAGGAAAAAACCAGGGAAGGTTTAAAAAAAAGAATAGAAGAAGATATTAGATAGAAAAGAGAAATGGAGCGTGCATCTATCTGACATATGTGTAACTTATGCGGTAAAAAAAGGATCATAAAAGTAATAAATTTTAAAATTAGATTACTTGGGGTATATGTCTTGGAAGAAGAGTTATTTTGACAATAAACACTAATTTTGATAGCATATAACATTAATAAAAGTATAAATTACAGTTACCTCCCTCAAAGTTTGGTCAAATTAGCAAACAAATTCTCAAGTTTGATCAAATTACAAAGAGACCTTTCAAAATCAGAAGCATATAACAATTACATCTCCACTGCGATACAACTAACATCGACCCTCTAATTGTTAACGACTTCAGCAAAAATCTATTGACATAAAATGGGAACCATCGGACAAAGAATCTATGAACTATCACAGCCTCTCATAGTTGCAAATAGTAACAGTGCATAAAAAAATTATAAAAAAAAAAAGAAAAGAAAAGTAGGTTTCCCCCAACCCAAAGGTCCCAAACAGTCAAAGGAATAGAATAAATCCACCTTGGCTGCCAGCTTGGTTCAGTCTTCATTATACAATTGGCGACCACTTATGTCCATCCACGTCATCATCATACCACTTCTAAATATCTCCTTGCCAAGTTGGTGGAAGATATTTTTGATCCATCGCCCAATGACAAAGTCCGGATCCATAAAGCGCTCCAAAAGCAAAACTCGTTAGACCTCACATGCCTGTGGGGAACCACCTCAACTTTACCAATCATCAAGCCTATCATCACCACCTTTCAACGGTCCATGATCATCCTTCGGTATTCCGCCTGCTGTCACCGTAATCTTTACTTCCAGTTAAAAGAGTCGGTTAAAGTACTATTTTTTTTTTCCAGATGCCACCACCGCCTCCATTTCCCTCTCCCTATAAATTAAAACCACTTCATTTGCACCTTTTCCTATTATTACTATTAGTATTATGTTGTTGCAGGGAAGTGACTGAGAAGAACTGAGTCGTGAAAGGCCGTGGACTCGACCGGAGCATGGAGGACACCTCAAAATCCCTAAAAAAACATTACCAACTCTCTCGAGCTGCCAAGCGCCGCTTCGGACGCAGAGGCAGAGTAGGCGAGAAGAAAAGCGGCGACAAACACGACGAGGATGACGGTGAGAACGAGGATGAGGAGGACGAGGGCTGTGATGTGCAGGCGTGGGAGACATTGAGCAAGAGCTTTAACGACGTGCAATCTGTTTTGGATCATAATCGAGTTTTGATCAAGCAAGTCAACGAAAATCACCAGTCTAAAGTTGCAGATAATTTGGTTAAAAATGTTGCCCTAATTCAGGAGATTAACGGTAATATTTCTAAAGTCATGGGGATTTACTCTGATCTCTCTGTCAATTTCTCCAGCATCGTTCAACAGCGACAAGCTCTATCCAAGAGTAGTGGCGATACCAGCAACAGCAGTAGCAATAGCTAACCGCCAGCCGGGGGACTCTCCGAGAAACTATCAGATTTGATCAAAGTCATCGGTGGTGGATCCTTCAAGAAATTTCAGTAATCTCCGATGCCTCTTTTATACCTCTGGTGAATTAATAAGCATTTTCTAGAGCTCACTTGTCAAACCTATGCTTATGCTGTCTCGTCTTTTATTGGTTGAGTCGCTTGGTTGACTCACGCTTGTCTTTGTGTTTTGAGTCGTTTGGTATGGATTGGATAAGTTTTAAGGTGTCGTTCAGTCGGTCACTGACTGTACTAGTTATTGATTTTGTGATATGGTGGCGATGGAACTGATGGTTAATGTGATGCTTATGTCTGTTCTTTTTCTGGTTTTATGTTTTCTGGTGTGACATTAAGGAACGATTAGTCGCTGAGCTGCAGGGATGCTTATTGACTGTGCAAAGACATGATTAAGGTATTTATGTTTTAATTTGGTTGATATTGTTTTCCTGCAGCTGGTTCCTAGAATTGACTTGGCGCGCAATTGTTTTAGTTAGCGGCTATGTTTGTTTAGGATTGACTGCTGTTAACGCCAAATACTCTGCCTGTGTTATTCTCATGTTGTCCCGTCCCCATCTGTAAGAGGAAGCCTGATATTTGGCTCCCTTCTCATCTCCCGGAACTCCCCCTCCCTTCCTAGAGCAGTCTCATACATGATACACCGCAAAAGCTTTGAAAATGGATGAAACTACCCAAAGAGAAAGCATTTCCAGTAAGATATGACCACAAAGAGAACAAATATTGATGCCACTGTTAAATTTGTTGCGAACGTCATCCTCTTCCCTTGCCATTGCCACTATTACCCTCCTCAGCTGCCATTAAATACTAATGATTCACCACTAGTAGAAGGCAATTGGATGAAATTGAAAAGACTCTGCAATTGGTGATGAGTAGGAGGTTTACTGTTGTATAGCATCTTCTACTTACTCTTTTGTGCTTGGCCAATCAACCCCTGGGGTTCATGAAGGTTAGCCCCGGCATGACTACTATAATCGTGTTACAGATTATGCTCCCAAATTCTACCACTTTGAGTCCCTTGAAAAAGTTCATTTTACTGGGGAGGCTGTACATCTGTCAAACATGGTGGTTAGGATCTCAGTTTGAGACGGGGGATCTAGCAATAGTAGTGGGAAAGTAAAGATAGAAAGCTTCTTGTGGAGGGGTTATTAGTGCTGGGAAAACAGAAAGCGGAACAGTTAACAAGGGGATTCTCAATGGTCTAGCTAAAATTATTTGGGGATCACGATGACTCTGAACTCCTCTTTGGACGTTTAGCAGAAGGATCCACAATTACATGTATCTTTCTGATTGTTCCACATCATTAGCTTCAAGACCATATTTCCTGCCATTACTTGGTTTTCTTTTGACTGTTCATCAGGGAATAGCTTGGCCTGATTCTGAAAGAATATGCAGAACTTTTTGTGGTTGACAATCATTTTAGCAGGTTATTGTGTCTTCTGTAATTTCTTGTACTGAAAAACTTGTAGCTATTATCAGTCAAGTGCCTATAAGGAGAGGGCTTCTTGATATTTATCATACTAACTTCTCCTAGAATTAACTGGATTCTAGCCACTATTGCTGGATATCCAAGCAGCCATATGCCAAGGAAATTATCTTGCTGCGCTTTGCTTTTGTGATAGTAACAAAGCTGCGGGGATCAGGACAGTATGAGGTCTACTTAGTGCGATTGGGGATGAGGTTTCTCTTTGGTGTTATCACTTGATCTGCTTCCTGACGACACCGTTGGAGAGTTTATGTTAACAAGACACGCATATATCAGACTTGATCGTATGGTTCATTTGAAGGTGAGCTTCTTCTCAGTTAGTGCGATGTTTTCTGAAATAATGTCCTTACTATTCTATAATCTGATACGTTACCGATTTGAGCCGCTTGTTCTGTTACGGAGGCTGGAGAAGACCTTTGTTGTTGCATCGCAAAATATTAGACTCGTAAAGACTGAAGCTAAGTTCGACCTAGTGTGATATAGGGAAGAATTTTGTTTATTTTTCTCTTAGTGACATTTACATACACGTTTTAGCCGTTGGATTTTATGCCTCTTGTAATTGGATAACTGCATTGCCCCGTCCGACATTTTGTTCAATTTTCATGTCTTTAGCTAGAAGGATGGTCAATGTTGAGGTTTCAAATTGTTGGCTGTTACAGCATCGTGCTATTTAATCTCGATTACGTACACGTCTAATTGAGCTCGGCATTTCTACATTCCTGATTCCACCTTGATCGCATCCGACATCTCCTGGGTGGTGGTGACTGATCTTTGACTAACAAAAATGACGAGAAAAGTATGATAAACAAATGCCATTTTTGTTCCAAACTTCAAAGAACGGTATACAAAATGAGAGGAGCCATTCTCGGCCAATTCCTTAAGTTGGAAAAGATGGTCATAAAGCAATTTGATTACTGAATCCCAGTACTCGTACCAGGTTCTATTAAGTGATTTATTTCTCTCTGATTTTTCTTAAAGATTAAAAAAAAAAGTGTTCACGCCTCTAAATTTCAGAGTTAGAAACGCCACAGGCCTAACAGAGCAAGTTAGGAATGGTAATCAAGTGTCAAGAGTGATGCGTCCAAATTCAGGTTTTTGTGAAAATTATGGATCCTGTGGCGAGGTGTTAGCATTTAAAACCCAATGCCATCTCTTGCGACCTATACAGTAGACAAATTCAAATACTGTACTCAGTGGTAGATTAGATTTCGACTCTTTTCCCAGGCAGAGTAGACGACAATAGGACTTCAATATTGTAAAATTTGCAAATAATTGAGTACATCAAATTCTGTCCAATCTTAGTCTACTTCTTTATTTGAGTCAATTCTACCCAACATTATTCTACTCCTGCAATTTAACAAGTTAAATATAACTTTAGAACAACGACTGCTCGTTCAAGAAAACAAAAAGATAATGCTTCAAAGAGCTCCACAATAAAAAGTTATGAAGTTTGAAACCGTCACAAGAAACGAGGGTCTACTAATACAGAATCATGCAACTGCAACTGAGCCATTCAAACCCAAACAGTTAGCAGAACAAAAAAAGACACCTAAGCAGAAGTTCATCATAATGGGAGTTCACCACTGTCGGCAATTTTAACTTCGCTTTTTGGCGTTCCATTCTGCCTGCCTTCAGCTTCAATCGCATAAACTACATCCATGCCAGAGAGGACCTTACCAAAGACTACATGCCGACCATCCAACCTGTAAGCAGGATAAGTTGTGCAACATTGAACCGACAAAGAACAGAAAAGGCCCACTTATTTGACTATTAAAGATTAAAAGCACAATGGCATAAGATGCATGAAAATTACCAGCTAGTTGTGACAGTTGTTATGAAGAACTGTGAACCATTGGTGTCAGGACCAGCATTAGCCATTGACATCAGGCCTGGAAATTAGATAAGAGTGAAATCAATCTACATCATGCTGGGGAATCATTGAACTTTCAAAACTTCTGTGTAAACCAGTCCCTTGAAAAAATAAAATTACCTGGTCCGGTATGCTTAATTTTGAAATTTTCATCAGCAAATTTCTCTCCATAAATTGACTCCCCACCCCTACCATCTCCAAGGGTGAAGTCACCACCTTGAATCATGAAGTTGGGGATGATTCTATGGAATTTGCTTCCTTTGTAATGGAGAGGCTTCCCGCTCTTTCCAGTACCTTTCTCCCCTGAAAATAAAATCCTACCCGTAAATCATGTGCTTAATTGAGTTACAAACCAATCTTGTGCTGCGGCCAAATCATTGATGAGATACATATCCTAGACTGGTATAATTATCAAGTTAACCACTAAATCGACCAGAATTCACCAGAATGAATCAATAAATCATTTGAAGACACAATGGATTAAGCATTCACAGAGTTGGTGAATAATTTTTGAGAAGGAAGCAGATTATAGAATGTACCTGTGCACAATGCTCTGAAATTTTCTGCCAACCAAAATAAATGTGTTTGAGAAAGAAAAAAAAATCAGGAAATAGAACGTTTTGATGAGATCACCCATTTTTTATCTTATATCACACCATCATACCTGCTGTCTTAGGAACTGCTTTGCCAAAGAGACCCATCACCACCCGCCCTGAACACGAATGACAAAGATCATTTTTCAAGTCTAAAATTTAAAAAAGAAATAGGCGATAATCTATAAAATTAGCAGCTCCAGTGGTTCACTTCATACTCAGGCCTATTCTTAGTAAAACTCGCAGCATTAGATTTAGATATAAGATCTGTATGCAAGTACAACTGATAAGAGCATGAAAAGGAAGACCAAGAGCATACCAGCAGGTCTTCCATCAATCTCGACATCGAAGTAAACTTTGTGAGTCACTTCTTTCAAGTCATTGTCTGATTTTTTAGCCTGCGTGTGTAATTATGTAGTAAAATATAAGTAGTCGAACATCAAGTATCGAACAAATTGCAAACTTTAAATGTTTCTTAAGAATTATAAAATTCCATGAATTAGTTATCTCGGACGATACTCAGTAACTCCATTAAATCGGGAAAAAGCAATTCAATAGTTAAATAATATCTTCATTTTTCCTTCGGCCAACTTCACGATTTTGTTAAACAACCAATCCACAAACACGATAGCCATATCGGTAGAATCTATTACTACTATTACTACTAAATTCTATTAGTTGCGGGCAATTATCCACATAGATCGTTAAAAATCGAAATCCTGGAGAGTACTATAAGTTCCTCATCCAGGTCAATCATTTTATAATACTAATTAAATTCTCCATCATGCAAAAAGCCAAAAATGAGGATCACCTAAAACGTCGGGACAAAATATTGGAATTGGTTTTATGCTCTATTCAACAACTAAAATTGCAGTTGAAATCAATCCGATAAAGACAGATCGAAACTTTGATTCAGAATTAGTGTATTATAATATATCGATGATGAGGATGACGAAAATAACCTGAGCAACGGCTGTCAGTCCGAGGATGAGTAGACTGCAAAAGAGTACTGTGAGAGTTTGCGAGCTCGATCTGGCCATATCCTTCTGCCGAAGTTGTGTTCCTCAACTTTTTCGGGTACCCACTCGGAGAAGGAAGGGTATATGACCCGGGGGGTTTTGTGGAGGCCACCAATAGAACAGCGACACGTAACGTATTGAGGTGTTGCTGATCAATGCTATTGGTTAGAGGTTTGTGGGGGTTCTTTGGAGTAGAATTTTGGACTTGATGGACTAATAAGACTGGAACGTGAAGGCCCAAAGAAAAGGACGAGAAAGTCCAGAATCTCTACGGCAGCAAGAATAACTAAGGCGTGATTTTAGTTCCTTCAAATGTCTTCACGCTTTAGTTGGAATGGCTCTCCATCTATCTGCAATGAACTATGTGTGTGTGTGTGTGTGTGTGTGTGTGTGTTTTTTTTTTCCGGAGCAGTATCACTGACATTGTAACTTAATTAAAATATAGGAATAAAGAAGTACAAAATGATGGATTTAGAAAAATATTAGTGGCTAAAAATAATCTATAAATTTGAGTTTCACTATCCTTTTTTTTTTTTTTTTTTTTTTTTGGTTTGGCTGGTGACAGGATCAAAATCGTTATAACTCTGAACGTATGGTAACTTAATTTTTCTTGCTCGTCTAAACCTTGCGCATGAAATTTTCCTATTGGGTCCTGTAAACAAGACTTGCATTGCCAGCAAGGTAGATTCCTATATTAGATGGATTCCCTAACTAAGCAAAACTCAACATTTATGGCTCAGTTGCTGGTTGCCTGGTTCACTCAGTAAGGCAGGTGTTCGAGGAATCATCAGGGATTGCAATGGTCTCTGGATTGCTCGCACTGGGAGCTTGTTTAGTGCCTTGTGCTGAATTTTGGGCACTCAGAGAAGGATTACACCTGGCAAAATTGCTTAATATCTCCTCCCTTGAAATGGAATCGAATTCAAAAATTATAGTCTCTCTTATCCAAAATAATTCTCTAATTTTTCATGAGCTTTCCCCTCTTCTTTTTGATTGCCGGGAGCTATTGACTGCATTTTAGCAGGTACGTTTCTACCATAATTTCCGGGAAGCAAATAGATGCGCAGACGTGCTGGCAAAATATGGAAGGAGCTGTATAGGACACATCCAGGCTTTGATAGTTGTCCTGATTTCATACTTCTTTTTGTGTTAGATGATATTAGGGGTGTTATCTTTCCAGGCATCCTGGATGTGATTTCTGATGATTCTGGATGACTGTATAATGACTACTTCTGTCAACCTCTTTGTTTACTTTTAATGCATCCTTATTCACCAAAAGAAAAACTTAATTTCTTGCTGCATTTCTACGAGTGCCAACTGCGATTTGCTGTTTTTGTATTGAACATTTCTTTCTTTAAGATTTCTCTTTGGTTAACCATCTGATTTCTGCTCAAACTATGAAGCATGAGCCCACTTGTAACTCCACAAATATAGCACAGTTTCTATGAAATATTGAAGAAAAACAAAACAAAAGCAAAGACATCTAGTTCTTGGTTCTTCTCAATACAGAGGAAAGAGGACTGCCAAGATTGATCTTCTTCTCGGTCTCCAACTTTAGTCAAGTCCAACGAAGGCACGACATTGTAACTGCCAGTATTCTTTAGCTTCTTCCAGCCGTGCTTTCCGCTCCTTCTGCCGCCGTTCGTCCCAGTATTCTGGCAATCTATCCAAATACCAGGAAGGCTCAATTAAATGCAGCTAATGTAAACCTCCTTCTTTTTGGTTTTTCCTCAAGTATTGCTGTACTTAGATTTGCACTGTAAAATAAACCAGCCAATAACTGAATCAACTTACTTTCTTCTCAGTAAAATGCTTAGTTCGGACATGCGCATTGCTCCACTGAACACACCATTCTGATGGAAGTAAATCCCATAATCAGTGACATTGTCACAATCTTGTTCTCAATATTTTATCCACGTGCCTCGGACACCAAAATCAGGAAACAGAACTTTGCACGGAAACTACCATCAACTTAGGCACTAGTTTGGCTTAGATCAGGTGTATTATGTTTTAGAGCTTATGTGCTGGCCATTTTACCTACACCTAACATGAGTAGCCACAGACTTCGCATTAACATATGCAAGAAGTTTTTGCAATTGATGAGGGTAATTCCTACTTCCTGCTGCCTTTTCTAGCAACCGGGTTCATTTTCTTGATTTTGCAACCATGTTCAGCACTTGTTCGATACATCTACCAAGTGAATTCACATAAAAGTAAAGTTACCTACTTTTCTGCACAATGGGCATTTTGATTTTGAATCTGCAGCCTTTATTCCATCAATGGTAGATACTGATCCAGCAGAACAAGCACACATGTAACAGAACATATGACTACATGTGAGAGAAACTGGATCAAATAATGCTTCCTGTTGTCAAATATATGCACAAGTCTCAACTTCACCGGTGCTGAAGCTAAAGGGAACACTTCTTACTACTAAAACATTTAACTCACCAAACAGATAGAACAAGTTAGATCAACATCAAGCACCCTCGAATTGGAAAGAGATGCTGAAATGGAAAATCTTCCTTCACTTATTTGCAGCTTGCAGTCATCCAATAGTCCAGGAATAGTAGTTTTGTTCTTTTTTTCCTGCACATTTATGTGCCATGCCATCAATTCACAGAGGCAAGGGTTTTTAAGGTCCTCAAGCTGCACATTTTGGCATTTCAGGTTGTTTATTGAGCCATGAACCTGCAGGCAGAAAAAGACAGATCTTGCTGATTAATGCATCGACAATATGAAGGGGCCAAGTATAGATGAAATTTAGTTGCATATTCATCATAATTCTGCCTTTATGCGGTCTGCATTTCAAAGCACAATTTGTTTGTCTTGAAGATTTGCAAGTTAATTTCTGTTTGTTCCTTTTGATATAGTAGTTTATATACTGGAAGTGGGAGATATCAATGCGGTTATGAGCTATCTGACTTCTTTAAAACCTATACAGAGCTGAAAATGGAACCTGAAAAGTACTGAGAAAAAAAAAATGAAAATTCAATGACCTCGTCACATTTCAAATCATAAAAATTCAATGACCTTGTCATATTTCCTCAGGACTTCTCCCATGGCCTTTGTACTGATATCAGATGACGTTGAAGCGTTGCTTTCTAGTGCCAGGGCGGCATGCTTCTCTCGCACCCTGTTTATACAAATTACGAAATATTTCCGGAATCCTGAAGCCAACAAGGTCTTGAGATATTTAGCCATATGGTTTGCTGAAGCAGATTACAGTTGCGGAGGAGTTTCTTGTACCTGACGTAAAAACTGCCCCTTCGCATGCTACAACATGTAATTAGATGAAAAAACTGAAGGGCTGGATATGGGGGGGGAGGAAAAATAATATGTAAAGCGGGAGGAAAAATCAGGCTAAGCTAGCAGTGAGAATATGCCACTTGGTCATATGAACATCATCCTGCCGCAATTTACGAAGTATTCTCCAAGTACTGACCAGGAGGATAAACGAGTTTGACAAACTAAGAAAATAATATTTCTCAGTTTCAAAGATGCATATCTCGTTTCCAGCTCCCTTATGAGTCAAGTTACCGGAGCTTTTTGGATAACCTAAATCATTTAGTTTTGACAAAAGGGAACAAATTCTTTCATTTTTTTTTTCAAGAAAAAGATTGGAAACATGAAGGTTGGCAAAAAGGAAGATGAAGACCTGAGGAACTTCGGGGAGACAGTTGATGTAATGAGCCGTCTACTCAACTCCTGGCTTGCTTCTCGACGTTCACTGAGGTTCTGCACTTAGGGAAGTCACTGCAACAGCAAGAAGTCTGGACACAAAAAAGGGAAACAGCTGGAGAATTTATTCGGCCCCCAGCATATTCCCCAAAAGTTTCACATTCTTGTGTAGGTAGTGGACTTAGTTTCCATCTTTATATCCAAATCCAAAGACGCTATTTGGTTTGGATTATTCCTTTCCTATCGATCATCACAATACAATATATTTTGTGTTTATGTGTCCCTCTTGGGGACCCCTACTAACCTTTTCTACGAATACAATCATTAGTGTTTGACAGAGGCTCGATCGGCCACTTTCACTTTTCCATTATCTCAATCAAAAAATCGATCGTGTGCATCCACATTCACCGTGTCAATGAATTCCAACTGAATTCTTGGTCAATACATATCATTGAGAGATATTGAAGGAAAGATCGTTTGATCTCATATTAATCACCTAATGGTTAATAATTTTGACTATTAATAAGGAAAGCATAGATAATATTACATACCGCATTTAACACATTAAAGCATCATTAAGGAAGTGAAACAGATTTTATGCCTAAGTTGGTACTCTGCTATGTGTACACTCAGCCCAGCCCAACACATGAACTCTTCCACCCATATAGCAGGAATTGGAATGGATGCTTGAGGAATTATAATTCAATGAATTTTAATTTTACAAAGAAAAAATATAGCAAATTGGACATCAGAATTGGAATTGGGTTCTCAATTCCAAACCCAATCCTCAAATTCCATAGCGAACCAAACGCTTCCCTGTTACAAGTTGAGCTTCTGCTGGTGAACTATCACTGGAACATTCCCTTCGCAGTTCATGCATGAAAGTAATTTTTTTGAGATCCATGCAAAACCGGCGGAATCAGGGTTAATTATCCCCGGGTCTGGATCCAATCTGTTCGGACAAGTTGACTTTTCAAGATAAAATGGGTCCAGTACTCCAAGAAATTAAAAAATGGGTATGGCTGGTACAAGCCACTAATGCATGCACCACCACATTACAAATTCTTGTACAATTAAAGAGTTCGTAGGACTTAAAATTTATTTTAAGAGACGAACTTCATACATATATATAGATTTTGGATATCGTTAGAAATATGGATATCGTTAAAAATAATTTCAATTGAAGAGAACAAAAACATACATAACTTTCGTACGAGATGGGACGGTGGCCCGCCTCCAGCCACTAGATCCGTGGACGTTTGTATAGTATGCACATATCAAAAGAGATTCTCGAGGCCTACAATTATGGCCCATTGAAGAGCTAGAGGAGGAAGAGATTATTTCTATAGGTGCAGGTCGGACTACTCTACGCCTAGGTGCCGAGCTGGTGATGTCTGAGTGCGTGGAGGAAGAAGACATAAAAGGGAAAAGAAGACTTACTAGTGGATGAAGAGCTGATATGTGCTTAAGGGAAAGCGCTACTCTGGAACTCTCTAGACAGGGAGCGAGCTGGTAAAATTTGTGAAGGAGGAGAAATGAGAAAGGAAGCATGAAAGTGACGTCTGGTAGGGCCTATTTATAGGCCACCAGGGCGGGAAGATGAAGAGTCCCGAATTGAAATCTCAAAATTTATTGCTGAGAAACCGTCACCTTGGAAAACGTTTGAGCTGACAACTACCGTCATGGGCGGACGTGACCCCTGAAGTAACGGTTATGACAGCATGCGTGGCGGTTATCCGTACAAGGTGCACGGTCGTGGGATCGTGGGTCCCATCCCTGGCAGACCTGACGCCTCGAGATTTGGTCTACATTCACGCGACCCCTCGGTGACTCTAGACTCAAGGGGGGCTAGTGTAGTGGGGCAAATCCGCGCATGACATGTGTCAGGTCGGTAGACCACACGCGGCAGGTCGGCAGTAGGTACCTCGAGGCTGGCATGGGCCAGCTCGGCCTAAGAAAGCCAGCTCGGCATGTTGAAGGTCTCCTATGATGGGCTTGATGGGCCGCCGTCTCCGAACATTTAGGGGCCGCCGCGGGAAACCCTAGGAAGACTCCGAACCCTAAGGGAACTTTGACTCCCATAAGGAAACTACAACTCGAACGGTCCTATATATACTCCGCTATCAAGACTACGCAAGGTACGCTCACAAGTATTCTCTACTATTACTATATCATTCTACGGCCAAACTAACTTGACCGTCGGAGTTATCCCAGGGACATCAGTCCCGCCTCCGTTCTTTCTTCTCAGGTCACCTAACACGATCCCAGCTCGACTTTTCCAATCAGGTCGGCCGCATCAGCTCGGACACGGTTTTCGGCAGTCGCATCAATTGGCGCCGTCTGTGGGAACACGTTACACTTCATTGCGAGTCATGCCGAAAACTAGGTCGCAGAGGAACGCTGGCGGGTCCAAGGGGACCGAGCGTGGTGGCTCCCAAAACCCCTCTCGGGGTCCAACACCCGGAGAAGGAGGGGCAGGGCCCTCACGAATCCCGCCTGAACAACTGGTTCAGACCGTGGCCGAAAACCTGCCCACCTTCGAGGCAATCATGAACTATCTCAAAGGTCTGTATTGTGCTTATCATCGGGATGTGGGGCACGATACGGAGGACTGTCGTCACCTCAAGAAAGACATTGAAAAGCTCATCAAACGAGGTCATCTGGGGCAGTTTGTACGAGAGGAACGAGCTGACCAGCAACGGGGAAGGCCCAGGTCGGAACGCCCGAGCTACCCGCGGGACCGGCCTCAGGGGCCCCGCGGCCGAACTCCCGAGCAGGAAATACAGAACCTGGCGGGGGTGATTAACACCATCGCCGGAGGACCTGCGGGTGGAGATAGTCATGCAGCTCGGCGGCATAACCGTCCCCCTCCCACGGGGGAGAGTTCGGCCAAGCGTTTGAAGATGTATGAGGAAATAATCTATGGACCTGAAGACGCAGTCCCTTTGGCCTCTAATAACCATGAAGCCATTGTGATAGAAGTCATCACCTGTAACTTCAAGGTGAGGAAGGTGTATATAGACAATGGAAGCGCCATAGACGTGCTGTATTATAAGACCTTCAAGGAGCTGCAGCTGGAGGATAGACAGCTCGTACCGGTCCGAACTCCGTTGATCGGCTTTGCTGGTCCTCCGGTGAGACCGGAAGGGATGATCACTCTCCAGGTCACGGTGGGGGTGTCCCCGAAGTGCCGAACGATTCCGGTAAACTTTGCGGTGGTTAAGGAGCCGTCCTCCTACAACATGATCCTGGGACGTCCCACGTTGAATGCCCTCCGAGCTGTTTGCTCCACCTTGCACCTCAGTATGAAATTCCCTACTTCTGATGGGGTGGCTGAGGTGCTGGGAGATCCAGAGGTGGCAAGGGCGTGTTACATTGCCACCCTTAAGGGCAAAGAAAAATTGGTAGCTCAGACGATTTGTCTGGAATCCTGGGAGCCCCTGGAGAAGGGGGAAAGATTGGAGACAGATGAGGGATTGGTCGAGCTACCCGTCCAGCCCGACCGACCCAAGCACACAGTGAAGGTCGGCGCCGGCCTGGGTGAGCAGATCCGAAGTTCTTTGGAATCTCTCTTGGAGGAGTATGCTGAGATTTTTGCTTGGAGCGCTGATGATATGCCCGGAATACCCACCGAGCTGGCAGTCCACAGACTACATGTAGATCCCAACGTCCGACCAGTGAAGCAGAAGAAGAGGAATTTCGCTCCTGAGCGAAAGGAGGTCGTTAAGAGCGAGGTGGGTAAGTTACTGGAGGCTAAGATCGTTAAGGAAGTCTATTATCCTACCTGGCTAGCCAACCCGGTGCTGGTCAAGAAGGAGGAGAAAGCCTGGAGAATGTGTGTGGATTTCACTGACTTGAATAAGGCTTGCCCGAAGGACTGTTACCCACTCCCACGGATTGATCAGCTCGTGGACTCGACAACGGGCTACGAGATCTTCTATTTTTTGGACGCCTTCAAGGGGTACCATCAGATAGCTTTGGACGAGGGGGATCAGGAGAAGACCTCGTTCATCACTGAGGACGGGACCTACGTTACGTTACCATGCCATTCGGGCTGAAGAATGCAGGTGCAACCTACCAGAGGTTGGTGAACAAGCTGTTCAGAAAACAGATCGGCCGGAACCTAGAAGTTTATGTGGATGATATGTTAGTAAAAAGCCGAACCCAGGAGCAGTTCGTCTCCGACTTGAGGGAGATCTTCGAGGTCCTTCGGAGCTCGCGAATGCGGCTAAACCCCAAGAAGTGTACTTTCGGGGTCAGGTCGGGCAAATTCCTGGGCTACATGATCTCTAAAGAGGGGGTCAGAGCTAACCCAGACAAAATCAAGGCTATCACGGACATGGCTCCTCCCCGAAATATAAAGGAGGTACAACGATTGACAGGGAGGATGGCCGCCTTGAACAGGTACCTGTCCAAATCGGCAGTTCGGGGAGCGCCCTTCTTCAAGGCCCTGAAAGCTAATCGGCAGTTCGAGTGGAGCCTGGAGTGCCAAAGGGCATTCGATGAGCTGAAAGCCCACCTCGCACGGTTGCCGGCCCTGACCTCTCCAGAGTTGGGGGAGACCCTGTTCATCTACTTAGCTGCGGGAGAGGGGGCCATTAGCGCAGTATTGGTGCGAGAGGAAGAAAGAACGCAGAAGCCGGTGTATTACGTTAGCCGCGCCCTGCAGGGGGCCGAGGCAAGGTACTCGGCGGTAGAACGCTATGTTCTGGCATTGGTACATGCAGCTCGGAAGCTTAGGACGTACTTCCAAGCTCATCCTGTAGTGGTCATAACGGACCAGCCCTTGAAGCAGATCCTTTCCAAACCCGAGTCCTCGGGACGGATGGTAAAGTGGGCTGTGGAGCTGTCGGAGTATGACTTGGGCTACCAGCCCCGGACCTCCATCAAAGCCCAAGCATTGGCAGACTTCATAGCAGATGGTGTATCCTTGGGATCGCCTGAAGCGGAGGTCAATCAGGCCAGTGACATGCAGGCTATGAGGAGCGGGGGAGATGGTAAGGAGGTACCTGCCGGGCAAGCAGCTAAGGCTTTACCGACTCACGAGGCTACCAAGGCCGTCCAGGCCCAAGAAGCAGCAGAGGTCTTACAGGCCAAAGATGCTGCCGAGGTCACCCAGGTCACACAGGTAGCGGAGGGAGGACCGTCCGGAGAAGCAGCTGAGGCCCGGCAGGCCGAAGAAGCTGCCGAGGACAGACCGT